CTAGTGTAACTAGTATCGAAAAATGACTAAAATATAGTTATATGACTTGAAGAATATTTTATACTTTTGATGTGCATATTTACGTTATATGTTAAAGTAAAGGGTATTAGAATCTAACATCAAATTACCGATTCATCAGAGCCTTTCTACAGTAAATTATGTTGGTGTCAGATAAAACAACGGGTTAACCAAATAGAGAGTTTAAGACAGCTTACCATTAATTTTGAAGTATGAATTCCCAATTATTTACAAAGTCACCGTTATTTCGTTCTTGTAACTCATGTTGAGGCATAAATACAAATGGATCTGGCACAGCGAGCGATCTAACTTTAATAACAATCGAAGTCAAGTATTTTTTCATCCTTAAGATCCGAATTTTTTTTATTTGTTTCTGCTCCTATCATAATATACAAACCCAGATTAGCAGCTACAGGCGAAATCAACAACTTTTTACCACATCATGAACTCGTGATAGCATTCAAGTCAGGAGGAGAAAAATGAAAACATTCGTGTGCACAAAATTTTGTAATCCATACTTATCAAAATGCTTATTTTATGATTTCTTTTGCGAATGTTTGCACTTTTGGAATGATGCCTTTGTCTGACTGTTTATCAACTGCTTGTTTGACTATTTGATAGTCAGACTGTCAGCCTATATAAAAATACATACTTTAGGGATTATTCGTTATTAAACCTGACAACAATAAAGAAATAGGGAGTGAAGTCAGAAAGATATTGTAAGAGTGCTCAGGCTATTTCTTAAAACCACAGCAGTTGCCAGTCTCACCAAGGAGTCTTCATCTTGTCGAGATTTTTGAGTCCAGCGAATTTACCTGTGAAAAATATTCTATTCTATTCTATTGATGCAAAAGTTAAAAATTGGAAAGCTTATTAGTATGTAGTGTGTTGTATATCGAGTCTGGTTCGTTGATTCGTTCAGAGAATTCATTAAGTTCCTGTGCTGCTTTGTCGATGTACGGCGTCGGGATTTTCAGTTAGTGGTTCTGTTCGATTTGTTCTCGAGATTACCAACTGATTGGTTGTATTCGATTTGTCGCCGGAATCGTCAAATCGATCCTGGAAACGTCGGCAGATTTGTGATGAGTACGTTAGATATCACGTCGGGCTCACCATTTGTAGTGTGTCGATTTACTGCGTGTTCTTATGCTTCGTAATTAGCTCGTCTAGACAATCGTTACCAAATAACGTCCTACGGTTATAAATCAGAAGGTGAACTGGTAGCGCTGAACACGTTTATTTAGGACACACCACAAAGAGAATCGGAGAAGCAGCGAATAAAACGAAAGAAGCGACGTGAATTGGAGAAAGCTGTTGAGCCAACTCCCAGGATTACAATGCGAACGAATGGGCGAAGGAAGCGAATGAACAGGCGAAGCGCTTTGGAGTTGGCTCATTAGCCTTCTCCAATTCACGTCGCTTCTTTCGTTTTATTCGCTGCTTCTCCGATTCTCTTTGTGGTGTGTCCTAAATAAACGTATTCAACACTACCAGTTCACCTTCTGATTTATAACCGTAGGACGCCATTTAGTAACGATTGTCTAGACGAGCTAATTACGAAGCATAACAACACGCAGGGAATCGACACACTGCAAGTATATACCCCTTTCAACTTGTGAACATATCAGGAGAACTGAACTCATATAAGGTGAAAGATGAAATTGAGTTTTGATTGATGAATCTTAATGGTGATGATTGGAAAAGTTATTGCTAGGGCGGGACTAGATCTCTCAGACTGGATCCATATAGATAGTCGTTTGTGCACTGTCCGACTGAAGACGAGCGTAAGGACTCGGAAAGATAGAGACACTCGCCGTTGCCTATTCGTTGTACCTACCTACATTCCACTGACTGAAGCTCAGACGAGGTGTAATATGAGATCTATAGGGAGCTTTCGGACCTCATTCAAAACCTTAGGCGCTCTCATATAGTAATGGTGGCTGGTGATTGTAACGCTCAAGTAGGTAGACTGAATCAAAAGGAAAGACATCTAGGTGGATCCTATGGTGTCGCGGCTAATAGATCAGATAATGGCGAACGTCTGCTGCAAATATGCTCAGATAACCGCTTATTCCTAGTAAACACTAACTTTAGGAGTAAGGAAAAATATCTTTTGACCTGGCGACCCCCAAAGTCGTCTCAACGCTGGACATAACTAAATAACATCGCTATAAGCCATCGGTGGAGAGGCTTTATTGAAGACTGCCGCTCAGTCTGGGGCACATGTTTAGATTCAGATCATGCCCTAGTGCGAGCGCGTATCTGTTTGAGGCTTACTGGACGTAGGAAAGAAATCACAAGCAAACCTCTTAGGGTTCTACTTAGTGATAATGAAGCTAAGAATATATTTCAGGAACAACTAGAGAAACATCCAGGCGACCATGTAAGTGATTTCCATTCGGAGGCAGCTTGGAAAAATATCCAAAAAGCTGTGGAAACAGCAATGATAACTGCTGGTAAGGTAAACCATAAGGTTAGGGAAAAGCCATGGATTTCAGCAGCATCTACCGAACTGATGGATGCTCGAAAGGTCATCCCACCTGGCTCTGAGTACGATGATGAGCGGAATCAACTAAGGCGCAGGCTGATAAAAAGCATACGCAATGATCGAGAACAGTGGTGGGCAGCGAAAGCAAGGGAGATGTAAAAAGCATTGGCGATAGTCAACAGTAGGCAACTATTCAGACTCATCAAGGAAACCGGTATGAGGAAGCCGAACGTGAGTGAGACTATCTTAGAAAAGGATGGTTGTATCATTCATTCTCAATCTAGGAGATTGAATCGATGGGCAGAACACTTCAGATATAAGTTAAATTGATCCTCAGCTACATTTCGGCTCACACCATCTTAAGTGATCCTGAATGGCTAGTCGATATAAGTTGTCCCTGAAGAAACATCCTTCCACGATGAGGGCAGCCGAGAAGTGACATCCGCCCTCATACCCACAAAAGCACACGAGATCAAATTAGTCATAATCAAATCCTTCCTACACTTCCTAACGTCTCTCTTATCTCCACGACAAACTCTTCTCACACTACTTTATCACCCATTACCGCTATTGCAAACGATGCGCGTTCACGAAACGATATTCCTGGTCTCCTGAAACCACGTTCTAAATTGCATGTTTGAGCTTTTAATATCCGAACATTGTGTCAAATAGGACAACAGGCTTCCTCAACTAGGAATTTAGAATCTCATGCCATTTATGTATGCTGCATCTCGGAAACGCGCATACAGAATCCTAGTAAGATGACGAATTTGATTTCACCTTGTCAAAATAATGAAGCAGCTCGATTTATTCTGGAAGCCTTGATGCTGCTTCCCGGGTTGTCGATGGTGTAGTCAGTCAGTCATATGCAACGTAGAACTTCGTACGTAGGTACATCAGTTCATGTTGCCATACCACATCAGCACAGAGATATAATTGTCAATTCAAATCCAATAGTAGTAGAGGTAGTAAAGGTATTAGAAGTAATCGAAGAGGTTAGGATTAGAAGATATTATTCAAGATGTATGATTCAGTGAGAAAAGTTTAGAAAGTTAAAACTAGAGGGGTTGAAGAATACAGAAGATTAGGATTTGAGAGAACACAAAGAATAAATGCACCGGCGCCATTGCGAACGATTTTGAGCCATGTCATTCAAGGTCTCTAACCATCGATTATTATCATCGCGCGGACCCCAACCAGGGAGCCTACATCTACCAACATAACTCAGTCCACTTGTCAGTGACTTCATTGATTTCTGCCATGTTCGGTCTGGCCGCCCCTACCTTTCTTCCAACCTATTCCTACACTACAAAACAAAGCTCGTCGAGGAAGTCGGTGGTTAGGCATACGCAACGCATGTCCCAACCACCTCAGCTGATGAATTTTCAATACTTCATCTATTGATGTACCATTCTTACCTAGCACCCGTTTCCTATTAACAGCATTGCTCATTCGCGTGTCCCAGGATATATGAGCAATGCTTCAAAGACACCTATGATCGAAAACCAGTAACCTACGAATATCTTCTACTCTCACTGACCATGTTTCACAGCCATGAAGTAAGACGGAGCGAACTAATGCGCAGTACACTCGTCCTTTGATTAGAGAACGGATATCACGCCTACGCCATAAGTGACGCAGGTAGGCAAAAGCAAATCGAGCCTTCTGTATCCGAGCTGAGATTTCGTCAGTCACCAGGCCATCGGCACTGATCAGACTCCCCAGATAAGTGAAGCGGTCTACTCGCTCGACTACTTCACTCCCTATCACTAGTTCAGGTGCCGATGCAACCCAATCTTGAAGCAACATTTTGCATTTCGACGGGGAAAACCGCATCCCGAACATGCTTGGATCATCACGATAGGCAAGTTCGACCACCACGTCAAGGAAGCAGCTACAGTCGGGATTGAATTCATTATTTTATTCTATTAGCAAGATATAACAATTCATCTGACCTAATATGGCAAAAGCGTTATGGCTAGAAATAGGAATAGATATTAGAATGAACGGTAAGGTATCCGTCATACTAAGCAATTTTGAAAAGGTCATAGCAACAATTTAACTCATTATTCATATACAGCTTTGGATGTTTGATTACTTGTGTCAACATTTGAGTTTTATAATTATGTACTTCTGACACAATAAGTAACAGTGAAAGATAATGAACACAATTTTCTTAATTTGGTTATTCAATGGCAAAGTAGAATCTAACATAAATAAGAATCGACACAATATGTCCTATCACGACAGCACGAAGAACTTGGTTGCTGAGTTTCATTAATGACTAAGTTAACAAATCGTATATGTATTACTTTGGGGTACTTCTATTTTGGGTATGAAACAACTTAAACGATCAGACAATTATTTCATTCTATTTGAATAATATTTTGACTATATTAAGACATGACATTAAAATTTAACCTAATGTTATGTAATCGTAATAAATCCAATTCTTTCACATATCAGAAATATATACAGATCAGAACACCAAAAATAAAATACATCCATTTATTTCAGGAGAGACAGAGGACTAAAAAACCACTTTATTATAAAATTATTTACAAATGCTGACAGAAAAAGTGCAAATCAAGAGGAAAACCCAATAAAATGTCTTTACAACAGAAACAAAAGAGCAGCAGTTGATGTTCAAAAATAAAAAATCAGTTAGTTATCAAGCTTTCGAAGAAGATTATTGAACAGCTCTTGAAATGACAGAATCACTGCGTCAGAGGATTGAAGTCCTCCATTTGAATCTATGTCATGATGAGAAAAAATGAGAAAAGTAGCGTTACAAGAAAGACGTCAACAGGTAAATCTTATTGGAAGCAAAAATTAAGCTTCGAAGTCCACTTTCTTACTGCTGAGCATAGAATCAATTTTGCAGGTAATGGTTATCAACTATTTCTTCATATTTGGACTCTTTAGGAATAAACTGATTAAATTTAAAATAGTTTTTATCTGAAAAGCATTCAGTTTTGTGGGCTCATAGCGAAAATAACGGAGTTACTGCACCATAGAAAATCAATATTATGGTGGTAGCATTATTCAAGGTAAATGAGTCACTATGGATAGTATAAACTATAAACAACAAAGTCCTTTTTATGTTCTGACAGTCTCAGTCTCAGTAAATCTCTTAGATGAGATATAATGAAAATTTGTAAATAAAATTTGCGCAATTCGCCATACTGACTTTTGATAGCTTATTTGAAGGAACTAATCTACCAATAGAGAAGTATCGAAGAGTTTCGCTTCAACACATAAGCTTTCCCCTGTTCGATATTGCTGAATTTGATTTTCAATAGACAGGGATTAACATCCAGGCGAAACCAAGATTACTAACTCTTTCAGCTGCTCTAACATTTACCATTCGTACGATAACACGAGATTACAGTATAAGTGAGGTATAAATTTCCTAAACTTTTAACACATCCAACTGTAACGATAAACAACATGCATTCAACAATTCCAGTAGCCTGGAGAACAAGAATATACCTTGTTAGTGAGTGTAGGGACCAACGAACACATTTATTAGACCAGTTAAGAAATACATACATATTCCCAAGTTCATTAGCAAAATATAGAGTGAAATTAAATAACAGATCGGAATTGTATGTTAGTAAAGTTAGTGGCTTCATAATGACCATCACCATAATCAGTGAATAAAACTTACATAAAGCACGTATATGCCAAAAACCAAGTGAGAGAATTCAGAAAATATATACACGTATGAGATGAAGGTTATAATGACAAAACAAAACCCTATTTATAGAATAAGGAAGTGGATGAGCGGAGTTTGAAGGACAAACTAGTACAAAAACAGATTTGGCTGACAGCCAACAGAATAAAATAGAAGTTGATTGATTTTTGTATTTCGTCTATTATAACGAACGATTACACGTGAACAATGTTTTTCCTGATTAAACGTACTTTTGTTTATTTCACAAATATTTACATTTGTTTGAAAGGAATGGAAGGATATTAATTAAATTGCTAAAGGTTGATAAATATAGCTTTTAGTGGGTTGTTTTGTAGGGAATTAATCCTACATGAAAATGAAACTTCTGCTTTTTATCTTCTGTACATTTTGATTGCACGGGAATGTCACTCATAAATAGAAATTAAGTAATTTAGATACCAACAATCACTTAGAATTGCGATGTATGAGATAAGAAATAATGTTATAAGTTTGAAAATCAGGCAAACTTAGTTCACCAAAATGTTTTAGGCGAAATTCCACAGATGCAACTAGATATGAACTGATAAAAATGATAGGAAAACCAACTGACCTTGTGATTGTTTGCTAATGTAGGAATTCGACTCAGCTAATTCGAATGGGCAAAAACCTTCGTCAAGAGCCCTGGTTAGTCTAGGATCAAGTGGTAGCCGACCGATTATTTCAAGGTCTGAAAACGATAACTCGTCACCATTTCTATTTTGTTTTATGGTGCATAGAGAGCTGGCGCCACCCGTGACCGATGGAAATAATGGACATGTATATTTGCAAGATGGGCAAACAAATTCAACCATATTTTCCACGACGCCTAAGATTGGGATCGATAGTTTCCGACAGAAATCTATTTCCTGACAAGAAATGAGTACAGATAAACAATGTGGATGAGATCTAATTGGTAAACATATTGTAAAAAAAGCCAAGTGGGTAAAGAACTCAAAGAGAGTTTAGCTGTCTGCCTGAAACAAACTGTATTATGTTAAGTGGACACACTAATCTGTGATTAATTCTAGAAAGTAATATTATACAGTGATGTAACTTATCACTGAATTTCAGTTAGACGTATAGTCACCCGCACCAATATTTGAAATAAAGAAGATATGTTCAGATATCATGGTGTTATAAACATTTTTAATATTAATAAAATATATTTTATTAAGACTGCTGATAGTTCACAAGAATCGGTCAAAAAATTAAACGAACTACTTATATATATATTCATACATATACCTATTCATAATGAAAGAGCATTTTTTTAAGTCACTATCAGCATAAATTTGGTAACTTTTATTTCTTTACTTAAATCAAATAAATTCTGGAACAATAGGGCACCAAAAGAATGATCAAGACAAATGAGTTGACAATACTGTGAAATAAAGGAGAGAAGGGCAGTAAAGAAATGAATAAACACAGCATTTTAAAGAGACATTCAAGAGAAACTTTTTCGGTTAAGTGATCTTATCACACTATTCTCAATCAGTCAACAACAACATAGAACTTCGTGCGTACGTACATCAGTTCAAGTTGCCATACAACATTAGCACAGAGATGCGATTGTCACCTAAAATCCCATAGTAGTAGAGGTAGCAGAAGTATTATCAGTAAACAGAAATTTTAGGATTCGACGATATTATTCAGGAAGTACAATCTAGTGAAATAAACTCAAAAGAAAAAGATAAAGGTGATGAAGAATTCAGAAGTATCACACTAATGTAACGAGTAACAGAAAGTATATTAGGGTCTTAAACAAGTCGTGACAGATGCCAGTCTTTCAGAGCCTTATACTACGCCATCGTGTCACAAACTAACCCTTTCCACTATTTATACCCAAGTTCTGCTGTTGGAAAATAAAATGAAACATGGAAGTCGCTAAAATGAGATTCGTAAGACATGATTAAGCTAGGGAAGTTGGTGTTTTAAAATTGTCAGTGATTCAATCATAGTCGATGCCAGCAAACACTCTTGGCCGAACATCGATATCACTAACATGTTGTTACCGCATATGAGCAATCTTTCGGATACCAAAGTGATCGAACACAGACATTAAATATCTTCAGCTCGCCGGGTTCCAGGTTTACGACCATAGAGCAAAGTTGAGTTTATCACAAATTGGCATAAATCTTTGATTTCCTCAGGTGTGGATTGGTTTCATTCCCATGTCACCGACAGTTACGCGACCACCTAAATAAACGAACTATAACGGTTAACTGAGAGTGGTTGGAAATACAAGCCTCTTGCGTAAGTACTGTGGACTTAGACGATGAACGTGGATTTCGAAACTGTGGAAAGGCATACTTTCCAAACACATTTTCAAATTACTACCTGAAGTTTTGAAGCACTTTTTAAAGCCTAATATTTCAAGTAAAGGAATAAAATCTGTATTGTGTGTTGTCTAATTGAAATTTATTAGAAAAAAGCAGATGGTGGTTATGTTGCACAACTGGTATTCTAATGAAAAAAAGAATTGATAGTTTGTAAAACAAGAGCTAAATAATTTGCAGATAATTTTCATACCATTTTATATCTGGTTTTGGATTCTTCGTATCTTACACCACTAGTCGAGATAAGCCGGAGCACTACTTGGACTGAAGTGTGTTAACAACAATCGTGTAGCTACTATAAAAAGTATCAAACTCTTATGAAACATTTAGCAAATAGAAAGACGACTTGTATTCGTGCACTAGTCAGATCCACATAACAACATTTTAAAAATAACATTTCTTATTGAAACGAGAATGGTATACGCTTAATCTGTTAACTGTGCGAAGTAAATAAGGATCACTGTAGCTGCTGGTATTAAAACCGTTTGTTTATATTATTGTATTAGTAATAAATTTAATAACTTGTTTAAGGGAAAAATCCTCAACAATATAGATTAATCACTACAGAAAAAAGATATGAGAGCTTTCTTGAGAATATTCAGTCAAAATGGAAAAGAAAACAATGAGCGAAATTATAATGCAATGAATTTACAGACGAAGGATAGTTGATCAGTTGGTAGTGTCATAATTACGTGAAACAAAATCTAGTATTTTTTAAATTTATTATTGTGACAGTTGAAAGATGCACCCGAGTACGGTAGGGATTGAGTTCTGATAAATACTGAAAATTCACTGATCGAAAAAGCACACACCTCTGAATTGTCGAAAGACACGAGTATTCCAAGACGTATGAAAGCTTCGTGATGCTGATGTTGGTAGATGTGAGCTATCTGGTTTGGGTCCGCGAGACGAAAGTCGCCGATGGTTAGACACCTTGAACAACAAGGCTCGAAAACGTTTGCAATGGCGCATGTGCATCCACTCGTTGTGTTCTCTGAAATCCTAATCTTTTGGATTCGGCAACACCTCTACCTTTGTCTTTCTGAACTTATCTCACTGAATTATACTTCCTGAATAATATCTTGGAACCCTAATCTTCTCCATTACTGCTAATACTTCTACTATCTCTACTACTATGGGATTTGCATTGAGAATTGAGTCTCTGCTAATGTGGTATGGCAACCTGAACTGATGTATTTACGTACGAAGTTCTACGTTGTACCTGACCGACTGACTGATACTGAATTACTGACTAGACAGAGACAAAGTACACACTAAAAAAGAGAGATTTTATCTTTTACTGAATTAACATTCACTTATAAAACAAAATAATACTCATCCAAAAATATCACAAGATAAAATATTTGAAATTGCTTACTAACTTACTTACGCCTCTAACCTTCAGTAGAGCATAGGCTGTCGACCAGTATTCTCCACCCTACTCTGTCCTGGCCTTCCCTTCCCAGTTCTGTCCAATTTTCGTTCATTTTTCTCATGTCTGTCTCCACTTGTTGGCACAACGTGTTTCCTGGCCTTCTTCTTTTCCTCTGACCTTGAGGGTTCCGAGTGAAGGCTCGTCTTGTGACCCAGTGTGTGTACTATCCGCTTCCACCGCTGGAATCTGGTTTGTTCTCTCCCACAGCAGGTTGTTGCTGATGGTGTCTGGCCAACGAATCCGAAGTATTTTGCGTAGACAACTGTTAATGAATACTTGTATCCTCTGGATGATGGCTTGTGTAGTTCTCCAAGTTTCCGCCCCATACAGTAGAACTGTCTTGACAATTGTATTGAAAATTCTGACATCGGTGTTGGTTGATAGTTGTTTGGGGTCCCAGATATTCTTCAATTGTAGAAATGCAATCCTTGTTTTGCCGATCCGTGCCCTCACATCTTCATCGGATCCACCTTGATTGTCGATGATGCTGACCAGATATGTAAAGGTGTTAACGTCCTCCAAGGCATCTCCATCAAGAGTGATTTGGTTGGCACATGTTGTGTTGTATCGGAGAATCTTGCTTTTCCCTTTGTATATGTTGAGACGTGCTGCTACACTGGTCATTTTCTCTTACACTTGTTGTTGCGCGTACGATAGAAGAGCCAGATCATCTGCGAAATCCAAACCTGAACTGTTCGCTGCGTACCGTGCTTCCCTCCAGATGTTGACATCTTCATAGTCCAGTCGATCACCAGGAGAAAGGGTGAGAGTAAGCAACCTTGTCTGACACCAGTCTTAACCTCGAAGGAGTTGTAACTTAATAAAAATGATGGACCTTTGGATACAAATTTTTAGCCTCTAATGTTCAACTTCATTTTAACATTACTTTGATCACATATAATTATGTATGACCTCATTATGAATAACATGAATCTGTTCACAAATCACACACGTTGCACAGTGAAATCTTCTGAGGTTTGAGCTAATAAAAACAAGATTTATTTGTTTATTGAATTTCTCGAAATATGTTTTTCCAGGCCATTTTACATTTCTACTGAAACGTGGTTTACTTTTACTTATAGAAGGCTAATATATGGACGCTTAAAATTCAGTGGTTGGAAGTTTAGACAATAATTTATCAGAAAAAGTCTGTCAGTTTTAACTAACAATTTTGATTTAGGAGTGATTCACTGCTACCTACATTGAAAATCAACGATTTATCTAGAACGCTTTCAATTAGATAGACATTAGTACCTGTTGTTGACTTGTCAAACTCACAGCAAAAACTAATACACATGTGCATTGTCTAAAGTTGCCATATTCCATTAGTACAGCAAAATGGAATTGTCAAAACAAAATCCAGAGTGGTAGAGGTAGTAGTAGAAGTAGTATCAGTATTAGAAAAGATTTGCATTCAAAGGCACGTTTCGACAAAGTACAAATTAATGAAAAAGGAATTTAGAAACTTAGGATCTAAGGGGGGACAGAATGAAGGCACCTGTCCTATTGAGACTAATTCTAAGTCATGTTACCAAAAGTTACTAAGCATTGGTTAGGATAATCACGCGGACCCCAACTAGGTAGTCTTCACCTACTTACATAGCTCAGTTCGATAGTCAGTGTCTTTGTAGTGGTGGTGTTTGGTTCTCTGAGCTGGATGTGTTTTTATGGACTGATGCCATGTCTCAACTTGGTCGCCTCTAGCTTACTCGAAATCTACTCATACACGAATCATCTTCGACCATCAAGGCAGATGGTACATGAGGATACGTAACACATACTCTAATCATCTCACTGATCGATTTGCCATCCTTCCCCGGTAACCACCTTGTGTTTAACTTCACAGCTGTTTATCTAGTGATTTTCTAACATAGATGAACAGTGCCTCGAAGGCATTTGTGATCAAAAACTATAAATATCCTCTACTTTCAAAGGTAGAACGCAGTGAACTGCTGTACAGCATTCGGCTGGCAAATGGATATTTTGCCTACACCACAAATGGCACAACCTGGTGAAGCTCACAACAGCTAATGAGACTTTTACGATAGGTGAAGTGATTGACACGCTTAACTGCTTCACTCTCAATGGTTAGTTCAGAGGTTGACGTATACGAGTCCTGAAAAAAATCTCTCATGTAGATGGAGAGAAACGCGTCCCGAACGTGCTAGCGTTGTTGCTTAAGGTAGTCAGAAGTTCACACGTTGGCAGCATATTTACCAAACGGAACTGTATTGTCTGTTAAGTTAACAGCAGAATCTCTTGGTAGTAAAGCAATTCCTATAAGTTCGGATGGCGATTGCTGTCTCTAAAGGTTTCTATAACACATTTAAATAAAAGTGGAGAACGTGAACGGCCTTCATAAACATCAGGTGAGGTTGAAAGTCCTAATGATAGTCCGCCATAATTTTGAATCGACTAGTAGTGTTTGAGTAGAGAGCCTGTATAAGAGTGGCACACTTCTTAATGACAGTCATCGCCATGAAACCTATGAATTTAAAGCATCTAAAGCTACCTTAAGATCAAGAAATTTAACTATAGTTGGGAGTCGGTAGTCATGCCTATGTCCCAGAACCTGATGAAGGGTGAATATTTGGTCTATACAACCATGCCCACGTTTAAAACTGGCCCAGTTTTCTCTTTACGATCCCTAATTGAGGGTTAAAGGAATAATGAGGCTAATATTTTAGACATTGTATCAGTTTGCCTAATTCCACTGCAACTATCACGAGTACGTTTCTACTTATAGACTGGGATGATCAGCAATTGAGACCAGTCTTTTAAGATGGAATAATGTGCTGTTCATTTAGCTACATATTGGTTAATAGTTGGATTATTAATTGGTGTGATGAGGACGTGGCTTAAATGACTACTTATTTAGACAGTACCAGTTTAAACTACACTCAGTAACGAACTCAGAAATAAACAATCAACTTAGGGTACATATAAGAAAAAGGACTAACTTCGTATTAAAATAGTAGCGTTGGGATAAGGAAAATTGTGTAATACTAGTTACTGATAAGTACTATAGTAAAATTACATATGATGTCAATAATTTGGGTGGCTAGAAGGATTTAGTGAACCTACGGATAAACCTGAATGATGGTTACTTTAGACTTCAAACCGAGAGTTGTTGAAGCATGTGGACCATTGAATTATAAGCTAGTGATCGAATGATATTATGTATGATATGAGACGCGAATCAATTAAAAACTTAACTGGTTTTTAAAAGAGCTTTAAATAGTCTCTATTTAGTTAGAATGGTTAAGCATCAGCGTTTGATTTTGGGATTGAACAAAATTAGATAGTCTCAGTGGTTGCTGCTTGTTGCCAAAATGTTTACACAGAGAATTAAATACGTAAGGTAAGCTCGGAATGCAATTTCAGAACATAACAAAGGGTTAAAAGCTACCATCTTTAGACAGTGGAAAAATCATTCTTCCGAACAGTGACTAAGTTCATCTTTCAATCATTATTGTTAATTTAAACTACTCTACACTACAAAATACAGTCTTTCGTGTCAAACTTCCCAATGTGACTAACCGTTACCTAAGAACTTGATCTGAGTTTCAAAACCCTAAAAACCTATTTTATCTATTTGAAACTCAAGTTCCTGTTTCTTGTTTCGTACCTAGTGCCATATAGGTTGTCAGGTTGATTAACTTCATCGACATGATTACAGCCTTGAATTAATAAATTAGCAGAATTCAAAATATAGCATCAATCTATTCAGCATTCAGCACATAGTTTATCAAGTGTCGATTGTTTAAATAAATAAAACCAAATTTCAGCATAAAAACTGTCATCAGAATATATAGAATTTCGACTTCACGAAGAATCATCATGTTTGGAAGATACTGATCAGCAGAAAAACCACACATGAGGATCTGAATAATTTGTAATAACTGTTACACGAGTCAATGAGTTACAACACAGAACATTGTAAGTAAGTACATCCGTTTAGGTTGCCATACTACATCAGTAAAGAGAAGCAAATGTCAGTTCGAATCCCATAATGATGGAGATAGTAGAAGAATTACTGGTAATGGAGAATATTAAGGATCGAAGATATTATTCAAGAAGTATAGCTCTGTTAGATACCTGTTGAAATAGAGATGATGAGGGAATTCTGTGGATTAAAACTTCATAGAAGACAATGAATGAATGCACCTGCGCCATTGCAAACGTCTTTGAGCCATGTCGTTCAAGGTCTCTAACCATCGATTATTATCATCTCGCGGACCCCAACTAGGTAGTCGACACCTACCGACATGACTCAGTTCACTTGTCAGTGACTTCATGCATTTCTGCCATGTTTTGGTCTGGCAGCCTCTAGCTTTTGTCCAACCTATTCCTACAACACAAAACATAGCTTGTCGAGGTAGTCGATGGTTGGGCATACGTAACACGTGTCCTAACCACCTCAACTGATGAAGTTTCAACACTTCATCTATTGATCTGCCATTCTTACCTAGAACTCGTTTCCTAATAACAGCGTTGCTCACTCGGGTGTCCCAGGAAATCTGAGCAATGCTTCGAAGACACCTATGATCGAAAACCATTAACCTACGAATATCTTCTACTCTTAGAAGAAGACTGCATTTTTTCATCGGCATATACTAAGTCAGCAAGCGATTTTCCTGGTAGAAGATCCAACCCTGAATACTCAAACGAGCGTAAGGTTATATCTAGGAGCATGTCTATGCTAAGAGATGGATTTCTAATACCGGTCTCCTTGATATGGCGGGAAAGGTGTCTGCTGTTGCCTATCGCCGCTGCCTTTTCCATCAGTGTTTCCATCTTTCTAAATCTTTACTGTCCCATTCAGTCGGACAGCGCACAAACGACTATCTATATGGATCCAGTCTGAGAGAGCTAGTTCCGCCATAGGATTCAATGCTTTTCCTACACCATCGACACCCCGAGAAGCAACACCATGTCTTCTAGAATAAATCGAGCTGCTTCATTATTTTGACAAGGTGAAATCAAATTAGTCATTTTACTAGGATCCTGTATGCGCGTTTCAAGATGCAGAATACATCAATAGCGCGAGATTCTAAATTCCTAGTTGAGGAAGCCTGTTGTCCTATTTGACACAATGTTCGGATATTAAAAGCTCAAACATGCAATTTAGAACGTGGTTTCAGGAGACCAGGAATAACGTTTCGTGAACTCGTATCGTTTACATTAGTGGTGCAGTGAGATAAAGGAATGTGAGAAGGGTTATTCATGGTCTCGTGTGCTCTTACGAGTATGAGGGCAGTTGTCACTTCCCGGTTGCCCACACCGTGGAAGGTTGTTTTTTGAAGGACCTGAAAATGAAGGTAGATTAGGGTCGGACTTAGAGACGTGGGAACGTGACCGCAGCGTTCAAGGGACAACTGCTGCAGGCCGGTCGAGCATGGCCTTTTTATGAAAGGATTTTTGAGTATTAGCTCCGCTCTTGAAAGCCCTTAGTGGGCAGCCCTTACCGACGGAGACGGAAATCCGTGAGGTAGAGTGAGGTGTGACGTTTTTAGGGTCGACCTTTTCTAACCATTCCTTCCTTGTGAGAAGGCAGAATCGCTGCAGCTGCTGGTGGTCCGAGGGAAACACCTTACAGCTGTCACGCCCCTATGCATTCAGCAGTACGACTTTGCCCTGAGAACTTGTGTAGCTGTTTTTAGTGTCATTGTCCTCCAATCGGTCTGCCTGGCATGGTAGAACCTTCAGGAACATATGTTCCAGCTAATATTGCTAGGTTGGACCATCACGATAGGCAAGCCCGAACACCACGTCATCGTAGCAGCTACCGTTTGATTATAAGGCGAATTTAGTTGAGATGGACTTAAATTTAATCAGGTTGTGATTAGAGTATCTAAAACATTCTTTGCTATTCACAAAAAATTATTTTCAGGAAAATTGGCTGGAAGGGATGACAGTGATTTCTAATTACTGAATTTATGAAGTGCTGGTGGGAATTTTGTGAATTCAAAGCAACCCAAAAGAGAACTAAGCCAAGTGAATCCTATGAGAGATTTAAGTCATGAAAATCGATATAGAAAACGACGTAAGACAATTTTAAGTTACATAGCAATATCAGATGCAAATACTTTTGTCCAATTAGCATGCACATTATCAGAAAGAATGTGATGAAGAAACGATTATATTGAGGTCAAAAGTTTGTGCTAAAAGATCTTCCGATTACTTTTACTTCAAAGCAGTTGTATAACTTGCTAAAGCAGACGTTTTGGATCGTTGTTAAAACAAACAATTAGTATAATTTATTTGTATTGGTTGTTTTGATTCTCCCAACGATGTTTAGGTCTGCAATTGATCAGTCTCTGTGGAGAGGATTGCCTGAATATTGCAAGCACTATTACAACATTATTACAAGCATTATTTGCAGAGAAGGATAATGGCTAGCAGTGGAATCTGGGACTCGTCCGCTGCATCTCAAGGTTGATGTTTACTTCAGAGCTCGGACTTAGTGAATTTCTCATAGAACGCCATCGCGTTTTCGACTAAGCTACTGAGTCTAGATAGCCACTGGCTTGTGCAACGAGATGAAAATTAATTCATTTGTATTTGCCCTAGTCCGAAACATTAATGCTTATTGAAGGGTGACAGGTTCGAATCATGGAATGAACATCAACTTTGAGATGCAGACACATCTGGTCGACGAGTCCCAAATGGAATGAAACACGAGTTCTGGATTGTACACCTAGCCAGTGTCAATCTCTGTTATTAAGACAATCAGCTTGTTGCAATTGTATTAGAGTTTTTCAACTGATAAAGTAGTCGATTTGTCAGTTAGTGACAGGACAGACGAAAACACATTGAAAAAAAAAATAATTTTTTGGATTTGCTGTGATAGGATAAACGTGAAAAGAACAATAGGTGAAATAATTATATCCAAATGATCAAGAGGTTAAGTCCTAAGATACTTACGTGATAACCAAACTTTTTCATAAAACTTGATGTTGTAATTGGGAAAAATAAAATAAAAATTTAAAGAGAAGAACAGGAACCTACTTTTCTTACATCACACAGCGATATTTCCTGAGGTGTAGTGATAATTATTGCACCGTCTAAACACTCAGCAGCCTGAAGATATTGAACAACTGAAAGATGTTCATCAGATGTTCCCGGAGGAGTATCTATAATTAGAAAGTCCAAATTGTTTCCCTGGTCTAGATTATCATCTTCCTCGTTCCACGCAACATCAGTGAGGAGCTGGCGGATCAGTGTGTTTTTACGAGGGCCACGCCATATAACTGGGTGGTCAGGACTGGGCAGTAGAAACCCGATAGACATCAGACAAAGATTTTCCGTCACAAAGACAGGAGACCAACCAGATTGACTTTGATGTACCTGAAATACAACTTTTCATTCAAGATGCTTTGCAAGAGTAATTACATATATGCACTTGAAACATTAACAAGGGTAGATTAAATAACACTGGTTGGTTCATTTTAACAGAAGTGAATTGAGATAATCCCTTCACACATCACATAACTCTTAATAATACGTTCATAAATCCTAACGGTTCAATTTAAATTGAATGCTTTGTGAAGATAGGGTCTTTCCGAACACTTAACGAATTAAACCAGTTTTGTCATTAACCATTGATGATATTATTTGAAAAGTCTAGGTCAGATTTTTTCACAGGAGATAAGTTTACTTGGTTTTGGTCAATTCAAGCGCTGGTTTATACTGGCAAACAGAAATAAATTACTAACAATAGAGTGCAAGTCTAAGGAATATGAGAAATTTAGACACATAAACTGGTTACTTATAAATAAATCAGTAGTCATATAAAGGCTAACCAAATTGATGTTACGATGTTCAAGGAGTGAACGATACGATTCAGTTGCCGGAAAATTTCATATTTTCTACTTATTTCTGAAATGCGAAAATGACTCACACACACAAGGAGTTGCACTGATGCTGTCCAAACAATCACAAAAGGCACTGATAGGATGGGAATCTCATGGACCCAGGATCAGTAAAGCATCCTTCAAAATAAAGAAATAGGCTATTACAATCAACGCCATCCAATGCTATGCACCTACCAACGACTACAATGAAGACATTAAAGATTAATTCTACGAGGCTGTAGTCAATCGTCGAGAAATGCTCATCAAAGGATTTGAAAATTCTGATAGGTGACCGAAATGTCATGGTTGGCATGGACAACATTGGATATGAAGACATCATGGGACGACATGAACTGGGAGAAAGGAACGAAAACGGTGAGAGGTTCGCAAACCTATGTGCCTTCAACAAACTGGTCATCTGTGGCACAATACTCCCGCACAAACGCATACACAAAGCTACATGGATTTCACCGGACCAAACTACTCAGAACCAAATCGACCATATCTGTATCAATAAAAAGTTCAGAAGGAGCACGGAGGACGTGAAAACCAAGAGAGGAGCGGATATAGCCTCAGATCACCAAAATGAAACAGAAACTCGAGAAGCACTGGATGACAGGGCGAATAACATCACAAAAGTTTAATACGGCCTTTCTTCGGAACACTGCAAAGGTCAACGAATTCAAGATAGCCTTCAGCAATAGGTTACAGGCCTTGCACGATCTACTGAACAGAGAGGAAGCAACCATAGAGAACAATTGGAAAGCGATCAAGAAGGCAATCACTTCAACATGTCACAAGGTGCTGGGCCACAACAAGTACCTCCACAGGGTACTCTTGATAAAATTCAAGAAACGGGGAAGAAGAATGCAGCAATCAACATCAGCCGAACAACAGCAGAAAAAGTCAAGGCACGAGCTGAATACACAGAAGCGAACAAGCAAGTGAAGAAGAGCATCAAAGCCGACAAACGTATATATGTGCAGGATCTACCAATGACGGCGGAGAAGCTGCAAGAGATGGAAATCTGAGACAATTGTACGATACAACAAAGAAGCTCGCTGGAAACTATCGTAAACCAGAACGACCAGTGCAAAGCAAGGAAGGCAAAGTAATCAGCAACATTGAAAACAGCAATCGATGTTGGCCCACCAACAATTGAGGAAAAATCAAGAGCGGAGAATCAGCAGGATCAGACAACATTCCAGCAGAGGCACTGAAAGCAGACGTGGCAACAACTGCGAAAATATACCACATCCTGGTCAACAAGATTTCGGATGCAGAACAATTATCGCCAGGCTGAAAAAGGAGCACACCTCATCAACATACACAAGAAAGGCGAGCTCAACAAGTGTGAGAACCACTCTTCTCCCGAGACCGAACAAAGTCCTCTACAGGGTATCGCTAAAAGGAATGAAGGACTTAGTAGACGCCCGAATTCGAGGTCAACAAGCTGGATTCCGTACGGATTGATTGTGTGTCGACCAAATCGAAAAATTACGGATCATTGTGGAACAATCAACCAAACAGAACTCAGCACTCCATATTAGCTTCGTTGACTGCGAGAAATTATTTGGTAGCGTGGACAGGACAACACTATGGAAGCTTGTCTGACACTACGGCGTGCCTAGGAAGATAGTCGACATCATACGGAATTCTTACGATGGATTAAACTGAGGAATCGTTCGAGGTGAAGACCGGTGTCAGGTAAGTTTGTAGCCAGACGATTTGGATTTCGCAGATGATCTGGCTCTTCTATCGTACGTGCAACAACAAGTGTAAGAGAAAATGACCAGTGTAGCAGCACGTCTCAACATATACAAAGGGAAAAGCAAGATTCTCCGATACAACACAACATGTGCCAACCAAATCACTCTTGATGGAGATGCCTTGGAGGACGTTAACACCTTTACATATCTGGTCAGCATCATCGACAATCAAGGTGGATCCGATGAAGATGTGAGGGCACGGATCGGCAAAACAAGGATTGCATTTCTACAATTGAAGAATATCTGGGACCCCAAACAACTATCAACCAACACCGATGTCAGAATTTTCAATACAATTGTCAAGACAGTTCTACTGTATGGGGCGGAAACTTGGAGAACTACACAAGCCATCATCCAGAGGATACAAGTATTCATTAACAGTTGTCTACGCAAAATACTTCGGATTCGTTGGCCAGACACCATCAGCAACAACCTGCTGTGGGAGAGAACAAACCAGATTCCAGCGGTGGAAGCGGATAGTACACACACTGGGTCACAAGACGAGCCTTCACTCGGAACCCTCAAGGTCAGAGGAAAAGAAGAAGGCCAGGAAACACGTTGTGCCAACAAGTGGAGACAGACATGAGAAAAATGAACGAAAATTGGACAGAACTGGGAAGGGAAGGCCAGGACAGAGTAGGGTGGAGAATACTGGTCGACAGCCTAGGCTTCATTTGGGGGCACCAGGCGTGAGTTAGACATTATAGCATCTACTATTCATTCATAAAATTTTTGTTCTCTTAATTCTTTTTTTCAGGAGAGTATGCTGAATTGAACGGATAGAATTGTGAGATAAATGCCCTGATAAAGCCGGGAGTGCGGCGAGTCCGCTCTCTTTAAATGCTTTCATATGCACATGCCTATGTAAACACTGACAAGGAGATCCAATTCACTGAATTATCGTGGCAGGGATGTTATTTACGAAACTAGTAAGACGATAGGTTAGTGTCCGGTGCTTAAACCGCGTTGATGGATACAGAAGATTCATCGAAGAAGATTCATCACCGAGGCTAACAATTTAGATACTATATTAGTTAAACTGGTTCGTCTGTGACTGTCAAAAGAGGACTTTCACCCTTTCTGTAGACTGAGGCAATCAGTGATTGAGATCATTTAAATGGGATTACTTCCAGTTTCCAGATTCTAGCTAATACTTCATTCAGTTTAACAGCTAAAACTGGACCACCGTCCTTAAACATTTCAGGGGTCAGTCTGTCAAAACCCGCTGCTCCCCGTCGCTTCAGATTTCCTATCGCCTCAACTTCATAAAGAGTTGGACAACTTAGATCGATTCGCCATACAGGTTGACTGGATATCGTGGGTAATCGAAGTGTGGCTGAATGCCATGTTCTGCACATCGATCTAATCTCCTGGATTGAGAATGAATCATAAGCCCATCCTTTTCCGAAGTAGTCTCACTTACATTCGGGTTCCTAACTCCGGTTATCTTGACAAGTCTGGACAGTTGTCTACTGTTACCTGTTATCACTGCCTTTTCCATCTCTCTTGCTTTCGCTACCCATTACTGTTCGCGATTACTGTGTAGGCTTCTTATCATCATGTACTTAAGTTGACTACGCTTCTCATCGTGTTCAGAGCCAGATGAGATGAGTTTTCGAGCATCTATCAGTTCAGTAAATGCTAGTGAGTTTCACTACTTTTCCCTGACCCTATGGTTTACCTTGCTGGCAGATATCGCTGTTGTTTTCACAGCTTTTCAGATATCTTTCCAAGCTGCCTCGAAGTGGGCGGTCAAGGATGTATCGGTCATTTTTTCACTCTCTAACAAGTGTTAAAAAACTGTCATACTTATTTCAGGCCATTGGTTAGTCTCGTGACATCACGGCTACCTTTCCTGGAATTGTCTATTGAAGAATGGTGTTCCTGAGAGGTTTATTGACATCATAAAGGCCTTATATACAAACACCTCTCTGTGTTGTTTACTCAGGCAGTGAGGATAGACAGGGTTGCCCAACCTCACCACTCATTAACTTCGTCGTTGCTGACGTTCTGGAAACAGCTTTGATGATTGTAGGTAATGATGATGCAGACCTGTTATCCACAGAAAGACTTTTTGATCTTGAGTATGCAGATGATGTTATTGCCTTACTGTATGATATTCAAGCCATACGATCAGCACTTAATCAGTGGACAATCTGTGTCCATAGCTATGGCATATACTTTTCACTTTCTAAGTGTAAAGTACTTTTACAGGATTTTTAGTAGCCTGAACCTGCACACTCTCCTGATAGTGAGCGTGCTGGGGTGGTCGAAAAGTTTGTGTATCTGTGTATTTACGCAAGTGAGGGTGGTGGCGTGAGTGATAAGACCAACTAACGGTGGACGTGGAATTGGTCTATGCTAATCTGGGCTGTCTTTAACGCCTTCGTAATGTTAGTCTGGCAGCAAAAAGTGGGATATACAACGTTATCTAGGAAGGATTGTTTATACACAGTTGCGACACCATGTTAGTAATGCAAACATCCGGTACAGCGACAACCATTTAGTTGGTTTCAACATCTTGAAACAACGACTTTGGTGGCTGGGATAGGTACTACGTATGTTTTTCCAGCAAATTCCAAATGTTCCATTATTTTTCAACACTGGAACTGGTTGGAAGAATCGGAGATGTGTTCAGTGTGTCATGATGTCGTAGTATGGAAGAGAGCTGTACATAACTGGAATCTGTTGATTCTTCAGGACTCCCTGGATAGCGTTCTACAGATGGAGCAAATCAGTGGTTGCAAACGCTTCTCTTATTATAATTATTATATTACTTATTTCTGTTTATTTTTGTCCCCTTTTTAATTATACTCACCCTATCTTCTATGCCTTTTCAGAACCTCAGTTTAATTGTGGAGCAAATATATTTGGTGCCCTCTTGCACCAATAATTATGCTTGAATAAAATAAAATGAATTTGTGGCAACAAATATTTTTGTGATTGAGGGGAATTTCTCATTCATCAGAATGAAATTGAAACTTATCTACCACTTATTAATTATTTAGGAATGGTACTTTGAAGACTGCTAATGAAAAGAAGTAAAGTATCCATAACAATAATTAGGAATGTGCTTCGGAGTTTAAAATATTTTTTTAACTGTAATTTTAATGGCATGGATAGAGAAGATATGGCGTAACGATACTTTTGGATTATTTTATCAGTTAAAAAGACAAAACTGCAGTTATCTGGATAATTTGATCACAAAAAAAGAAATTTATACATTTTTCTAAATTCTACTACGATGTGGGTGACTGGGAAGTTACAACTACCCTCGTACTTATGACAGCACTCAAATTTACCATATTTACGACCGGACGTTTTCGTCACTACTGAATATTTTTAAATTCATTTTTCATTAATTTTCTAGAAAAGTGCTTTTGTTATCGAATCTTTTCTACTAAGACTAATACTGTTACTACCTTTACTACTCTATTACCACGTTCTGCTAATGTGACGTGGTTATTTGGACCCGAAACACGTATATGCATATAACTGACATTCATATAACTAACTACTAAATTTTTTGGTCTTCTAGTAATCAAACTATCGACAGTAGCAAGGATTGTAGGTGAGAAGTAATGGGAACAACTCAGTGATCACATTGATGTACTAGGTTGTTAAATTAATGTATGGGGAATAACAATAAACAAAACTGGAACCCGAAAGATCACCAGTTGAAAACTAAGAGTTTAAACCGCTGGACTACGGCTAAGCTGATTTAGAAAATATTAGAATGAAGTTGTAAGTGAATGAAATGAGCTACTGGTTGTAAGCATCCGGGAATATTATTGACTACTGTTAGTCCAATTAGCTTGCAAGTTTTGCTCGATCCAAATTCGGTTAGTGTAGTTGTGGTTAAAAACAAACACACAAAGCAACAACTGACACAGTTATATCTTATCTATACAGCAGAATAAATTGCTGACTAGAGATCAACACAATACTTGTTTGGAAACTGGGTCTTTTCAGATCGATCAAAGTAGTATGCTTTTCTTTGATAAAATATGTTAAGAGATAGTTGGAAGTAAATCAATTAAGTGATTATATACGCCTTCCATAATCAAGCATGAAAAAGCGTTTTGTTGACAAAAATTGGTTATTCCTAAAGTTTAAGTACAACTTTTAAGACTGGGTATCGATATTTGTAAAATTAATTAGACAAGAATAAAATAACAAGAGATACCTTTTCATCCATGCAACCGAACATACATGGAATGGAAGGGCCACATAAATCAAGATCAAGTAGTCCAATACGATAATTATCATTGCAACCATTCATTTGACTGCGATTACGCCTGCTTAGTCCCCTAGCTAGACAAACAGAGAGACTGCTTTTCCCAACTCCACCCTTGCCAGATAGAATAATGATTCTGTGACGAACTGAACCAAGACGTCGCTTAATGGAGAGAACAGTATCTGGTTCACGTTGAGAAAGAGGAAGTTTAGCTTCTCCACTTGAACACAAAGACTGATTAGGACAGCCTTCACATGCTGAGGTTTTTCCGGCTAGATTGCTTTTTGTACCAGGGCAGGAAGATGGGGCATCTAATGGAACATCTGACATACTGGAGGTTAGGAAAAAGAATTTTATATACGATCACTAATAAGTTTACTAAATATATACATTGCTCAACAACAAATGTAGATCATTTCAGTTTCTTCTAGTACTATATAAATTAGCAGCAACCAAAAACTGAGGAACAGTCATAAACTAATATTAGCAGACCAGCCGGAAGTGACAGTTGAGAGCTAATTATTAAGATCATTTACTTTTGACTCCAAATATTTTTATCTAAGAAGTGAAAGTTCGTTTTAGAATGTGGGATACTTCGCAGACCTTGATTGCCGGTGTTTACAATCAAGGCGAACGTGCGTACAAATAAACTGAAAATATTTTAGTAATATTAAGAGAAAGCTTTCGGTTTTTCATTTATATTAGGATTGGAGTGATTAGTATCAATTTATAAAACTTAAAATTTACTAGATGCTGAATGATGACTGATATTTTTGAAGCTTATTCACCTGAGGAAATGTTACCATACAGCTTTTTGTAGTCAATATATGGCACTGAATTAAGTATTTTTGTTTATGATAACGTCACGGAAACCGATACGGCCTCGTTGTCATTGTAAATTGATTTCTGTATGCACTTGTTTGCCCCAACGATCTCTCTTAAAATACTCTTCAGTTGGTTACAACATAGAACTTCGAACATAAGTACATCAGTTCAGGTTGCCATATCACATTAGCACAGAAACGCAATTGTCAATTCAAATCCCATAGTGGTAAAGATAGCAGAAGTACTACTGGTAAAGGAGACTAGAGCTCGAAGATATTATTCAAGAAGTTGAATCTAGCGAAACAAACTTAAAAGAAAAAGATAAAGATGACGAGGAATTCATAAGGCCAGGATCTAAGAGAACACAAAGAATGAATGCACCGGCGCCATTGCAAACAGTTTTGTGCCAAGTCATTCAGGGTCTGCCACCATCGATTATCATCTCGCGGACCCCGACAAGGTAGCTTACACTTATCAACACGACTCAATCCACTTGTAAGTGACTTGATGAATTTGAGCCATATTTTGGTTTGGCCGCCCTTAACTTTCATCCAACCTATTTCTACATCGCAAAACATAGCTCGACGAGGCAGTCGGTGGTTAGGAATAAGCAATATTTCGCCTGCGCCATAATTGACGCAGGTTGGCAAAAGCCAATCGAGCCTTCTGTATACACGCTGAGATTTCGTCACACACCAGGCCATCAGCACTGATGAGACTACCGAGATAAGTTAAGCAGTCTACGCGCTCGATTACTTCACTCCCTATCACTAGTTCAGGTGCTGATACAAGCCAATCCTGAAGCAACATTTTGCATTTCGACGGTGAGAACCTCATCCCGAACATGCTTGCATTGTTGCTTAGGGTAGTCAGAAGACTGCATTTTGTTAGCGTCTCCACCGAATAAGACTATGTCATCGGCATATTCTAGGTCAGTAAGCGATCCTCCTCGTAGAAGGTCTAACCCTAAAAAATCTGACGAGGGTAATGTCAACTCCAAAAGCATGTCTATGACAAAGTTAAACTGGAATGGTGAGAGTGGACAGCCCTGACCGACACCACTTGAAGTAAGGAATTCCGGTGACAGTTCGCCGTAAGCTCTTACTCGACTAGTAGTGTTCGAGTAGAGAGCTAAAATGAGGTTAATGCACTTCATTTGTACACCTTTCAATGACAGACACTGCCACAGAACCCCACGATCAACAGAGTCAAATGCTGCCTCAAGGTCCAGGAAGACAACTACTGTCGGACGCCTAAATGTGTCTGTGTTCCAGGACCTGTCGTAAAGTGAATATGTGGTCTATACAGCCACGTCCAGATCGAATACCAGCCTGGTTTTCTCTAGTCTGCTCTTCACGAGCTCTACTTAGGCGTCGAAGTATTACCAAGGCTAACAATTTAGAAACTATATTAGTTAGACTGATTGATGGGTTAAAGCCTTGTGTGATAATTTGTTGTAAGAATGTGAACCGGAGTAAACTGATCAGTTAGCTAAAAAGACTTATGTATGGTACATCAACCTTTTTTCTTGAGTAAGCTACTAACCCGAAAAATCTTGTCAGATTGTATTTTAGATAAGATGGTCATTTATTACTTTTTATATCTATGTAAATGTAGATATTATGCTCCATTGAAAGGCTGAGCACATGCAATAGTTATCGGTTTATTATAGAATATTAAAAGATTTCAGCAGCAAGAGCAAAATACTATGACGGGTATGAAGTGAGATAAAGATAAGTGATTTAAGATCCCCAACCTTAGGTTTTGATTGTCTCAAAGATCTGAGCCAAAAATTTTAAGATTGAATATTATTCCAACAGCCAGTGTTCAGAGGCATTACCACAGTTAACTTCGATAAAATGTTGTAAAAGGTTGAACACATTGCCAATGGGATGAATATGGGGCTGCCTGGTAAAAATAGTTTACAAGACTTTTTAAGTTTCTAGGTATATACTAGAACACCAGGGTGGCAACATCGTCAAATAAATCAGTTTTTGAGTTTTGCAAGAACTGCTTTTTATGTTACGAACTTGACCATCAGTGGGGATGCCAGTTGTTTTTTCAGCACACATGTGTAAGAAATTTTAGTTATCCTTATCATGCGTCAAAAATATTCCATTCCTACAAAACTAGTGCAAGTGAGAGTCTATTACTTAAGTTGTAAATACCTGGGCTGTTTTCTTGCACTGATTATAGGGTTTAAGACAAACTCTTATGGTAAAGTAGTAAGTGAGTGGAAAATTTATATAATTGTAACCGGGTGTGAGTATATTTGGCTATGAGGAGCATCTAAACTGGCTGTATTAGTAAACTACTAACACGAAACTAGGTAGGGGAGAAGTCAAGCCTTTAACTTGTTTCTTTGTGGCTCAAAATTTGTCGCAGCAACACAGATCTACCCACATCCTAACGTCTTAAAATTTAGAATTATTTTGTACTTTTTAGTTCCTGAATTCACCCAATCTTACGAAATCATATTGTACATGCTGAATCTTTTCTAACACTACCAATACTACTGACATGTTTGCTGATTGTCCTCTCACTATGCTGATATGGTGAAGCGACGTGAACCAAGCTTTAGTGAGTTAAATTTTTAAACATGACATTGCATTCATCGAAATCCCCATCACCATTTACGCATTAATTATTACTCGGGCTTTTCTTGTTAACTAAACTTAAGAACAAAAGTTTAAACAAACGAAAAGGAAATAAAATTTATTGAAGAATTTCGACGGACCTACGTCTACCAGTATCACTGGAAGGGATATTAAGTTTATTGTTGAAATATTCAACCCTATAAATATTAAACTATATAGCAAGCCCCCGTTTAACATCCAAGTTTGCTCCTCAGACTGATATAATAGAACTGAAGCTCTACAAATATGGTGTCAGTAATTTGAGGATCATTTATTCTTGCAATAATACTGAAGTTAATTGGATTTAGTAAGTCTGAACGACTTAAATTGCACTGGTTAGTTTCATAAACGCTGCATTGCACATTAAGTGTTCAATGAAACTGTTGGTTTGGTCTTAAATACAAAGATTGCTCGTCCCATCACTTATTTCAAAAACAAAAAATTAATTGTTTGAAATAGTTTGCATTATCCCGTTGTGGGTTTTGACTAATGACAAACCGAAACAAAGGCAGAAGAGCTGTGGTTAAAAACAGAATGACTGCATGCATCAAGTTAGTTTGCAGTTGAGTACTTAGATACCACATGAGGTAAGCGACATTTAGGCTGTGTAATATTTGGAATTAGTAAGTCACGATAACAATTCATAATCCATCAAGACTGTCAGAAACTACTTACACTTAACTCAGAATGACAACTGATCCGACTGCGAGAATAATCTGGCAGTTTGCTTTTATTTTCAAGGTACTGTGGGTACTACGGGAGTGAGCAGAATAGCCTGAATGAAGCAGATTGGGAAGGTTATAGAAAAGAAAAGCCAGTGATTAAACGAAAGCACGAAATGCAACTACATTTTTCATGGAGAAAATCAACTACAATCGGGAATAACACAAACCTAAGATGAGGGAGGTATGGTTACTCGATGCAGATAGGGTACAGTTTTAAACCTACCGCATACACGATAAAGACGTGACCTCATCCAAGGTCGTCCATTGGTCCGTTTTCGAATGGCTAGAAGGCTGGTTGTGTGTTGGGTGGCATGGTTTTAGCTGTTTACGTACTTATTTAGTCTTTTATTGAAATTAAATCATAAGATTATTCTAAATAACATAAACTGACAGTTCTCACTTTTGTTATCTACACTTTAGCTTATATACTGGATTATAAATTGATCTTGGAAACTGGATGGTCATTTTATGAGGACCTGATCAGGTTCAAAATACAAGTTGATGTCATTCAGAATTAGCTAGTATAATTGCTGTATTATTAAAAGTTTAAAAAGAAATTTCAACGATTAACCTTTTAGTTGTAAACTTCGAACATAAACTTTAATCGTCATTAATATCTCATGAAATCAGTAAGGTATTATTACACAACATAACTGCTTTTACTTCTTTATTGCTGTACTGTTTCTAATGCTTCATGTTTGGTGGTTGTCAGTTAGTCAAAGAGATGCACTGCAACCATTATTAATCACCAGGAGTCCCTGAGCTAAATTCGAAAGTGTGCCAAATAAATTTCAGCATATGAAAGGAGAACAATGCTATCACTTTCTAGATTGCTCATACCAATTTTTTAATGTAATTCAGGTGTCCTGTGTTTGGTCGTAAGCCTAAAACAAAATGTTTGAGGATAATTCATGAGTCATTTGAACTTTCAGTGAAATGAGAAATTTTGGGTCCGAATTTCCGAGACATTATTATGGACTGTAACTTTGTGGGAAGAAGAATACATCATAAGATGGTACAAGGTTATCCTTGTGATAGCTTGGGAAACGCTTGTGATCCATGGGCCAGATGACTGTCTATAGAAAATACAGAAGTCAGTTCCACTACAACCACTGTCATTAAATGAAGTGTCAAAATGCATTATGGAATGGCTGAAGAATGGGTCATTATGAAATCCCTGATTTCACTCAGTCGTTCTTAGTACGCGAACGCAAGCATTTCGTGTACTGTGGAGAGAGTGAGGTAAGAAAGGATTCCGAAAATGGATTCATCCGTTGAGGTTTTTCAGCGGCCATGAGCAAACAGAATCATATTAATATCCTTGAGCAGTTAGTATAGATTCTACGAACAATAACAGTAACAGGAAGTAAGGATGCTTAGTGATCAATTCTTCAATGTAGATGGTCATTGTTTCACTCAGCAACAAGGGATAATTTTAACTAAGAGCGCCCCGTTCTGTTCGCATTGTGATTTCATGTGATACTCTGAAATTTCAAGGAAAACCTCGGTCACATAAATGTTCATCATGAACTTAGCACTAGTGGAAATCGCAGCTGTACGTACTACTCATTGTATTGCAGACATAATTCTGTGTTTCTGTCTCATGTATCTGGCATTCTGTAAAACCTTGAGTGAATGCTTATCCTGATGTGATTTCTTTAGACCCGTTCCAAGATCAACAAGGCCTGAGACTGTTGGTAGGTAGTGCTTAAAATGTATTCTTATTTCATAGCTTCAATAATTATTTTAAAAGTGTCAACCAAAAGGATAAAAGTGTGGGCCACAATGTACAACGCTGTTTCAACTCTTGGAAATAATGCGGCTAATAGCAGTGAGTCATCAAATCGGTAAATAAACCAAGATTTACTGCAAAAACCATAAGTCACAAAAGATCTCCAGACGTAATGCCAGAACTTCAGCAAGGAGATCAACAGAAAACTAGATAACATCCGGTAAAAGCTATATGTATGGTGCAGCTCAACGGATAGTCCTTCATTTATAAGTTAAATATTATTATGCTATTTCCTGGCAATCTTTGGATGATTGTGAAAAAACCATTCAAATGAACTCACCACTGTATACCAACCACATAGACTATGAGAAATCATGGTACAACGTGGACAGAAGAACATCATGGAGCAGGCCTCTAAACTATTCTGTACCTGAGAAGATAATCAACATCACACAGAATTCTCATGATGGACTGAATCGCAAAATCGTGCTTAAAGGACAGTTCTCAGGCTCCTTCCAAACGAAAATCGGTCTCAGGCAAGGCTACTCAACCTCACCCTTCCTCTTTCATCTAGTGTTTGACTGGATTATGAATACCTCAGCACCTCAAGGAAAGTGCGGAGTACAGTGGACAGCTTGGATGTATCTAGACGATTCATGCTTCGCAGATGACCTAGTTGTTTTGTCCCACACACTGGAACAGATGCAGGTGAAGACAGCCAGTTAGGCAGCTACCTCTGCATTAGTTGGTCCCAACATACATGAGGGAAAAAGTAGGATCCTTCGATATCACACAGTGTGCACTAACCAAGTCACATTTGATGTAGAAGTTCTGGAATAGTGTGGAAGCATTGTATTGTATTGACTTGATGTTCATAGTGGATCAAGAATTAACTTATTCGGTTAACTATATTTATTCAGTTCTTAAGATATTTTTTAAACAAGAAAATCATAGGTATAAACCGACTGAAATGGTATGATATGTTTGCGAGATGTTTCTGACTATACATTAATCTATTGATTACCAGTTTCTGCTAATTTTCACTGTACTGGTGGTATGAAAAGTGGTTCTTTCCAAATATATCGTTTTATACGATGTTAATACATCTTAAGTCATTGTGGTGAGTTCATAACGACTTTTGTCACAGATTGTCAGTGTCTTTTCACGATTCACGCTGATAGTAATTGTAATAATATTTATTTTCATATGATATTACGCTACGTGAGGCCTGCTAGTTTATTTTCAAGATCACTTTGTTACACATGCAACCATACTTTCTGTTATAGATCGTTCAGTTTAATAATATTATTATCTTACTGACATAGCCGACATGAAGAGTGTAATACAACGGTATTTACAACAAGCGTTAACAAATATGGTAGCTAATAAGCACAGTTCCTGGGTGGCGCTCAGGAGTTAAAAGTTGTTTGCCAGACGTTGTTTGGAGATATTTACTTGAGGATATTTGTGTAAAGGAACAGGCTAATAGGTTCATATTTAATAGAAGTTGTCGATTGGAAAGTGCCTTGTTTTAGTTGTAACCGTGACTAGAGAATACGTTAAGTGTATCTTGTGTAGAAGCACTGGGATCGCTCACTACTGATAAGCTTCTGTAAGGAAACGAAAGAGAAACAGAAGAAAGCAGAAGCAAGGCAATCGGAAATATGACCGGCGCATTGTTGGACCGTTCATAGTGGAGTATACAAAGTAACGATAAGTCAGTTCTACATAACACACACTGGCTGCTAAAATTAAAATAAATTACAGTAATATAGTATTCAAATTAGGAGGTAGAGCAATAAATGAGGATGAGTTGCAGTGTGTTTCAAGGTGTATAGAGTCTTAGAAATAGGAGAGAAGTCTAAGTAAGAAGCCGGGAGTCTGTACTTTAAAGCCAAAGGTTCAGCAGGGAGAGTAAAGTTTCTGAAAAACATTGGTTGTCTTGTTACTTTGCATAAGTGCCAACCTCTAAGTCATACTGTAAGTGCCTGAATGCATGTGGCGGGCATAAAATTCGAAAAATGAATGTAAGGTTTAGCAAGTACATTAAAGGAATCGTTGTACCACTGATTATTCGCCTCATTATTCAAGAAGTGGCCGAAGCACACGCATTGTTCTCCCTCACTAGCATGGATGGACCGAAGTCATTTTCCTGACCATCAATGTTTGTTAGTCAGTAAGTCCATCACCCTCCTTTCGTGTTTTTAGGCTCATTTCAAGAGACTGCACGATAATATTTCTGTCACCTTCAGGCACTATATTTTAAATCCTGTAGAGTAACACTATTTGTACAAGTTCTATTTTACAAGCTAGTCTGGCTTTAAAAATTTATGAACTGTGGGTTGGGTATCAGTGCAAAACAGTTAACTGTTATGGTGAGAAGTGTGGGTTTTCAAACAAATTATGAGCATATTGGATGTAGCGGAGGAAGGCTGTTTGATGGTATAAGCGGGAAAGATTAACTGCAGGATAATCTCCCAGAGAAGCCAATTAAAGTGAGTCTATCACTCATCTATCCACATTTATTTATTTTATCGTTGTCACACATTTCATATCGATACCTTTTAATATATATTATATTAGCAACTGATGGTAGAGAGCTTTAAGAGTTGTGACAATATAATAGACTCCGAGATACAGGTTACTGAATTCCTACCTGTTTCGTTTTTCCCTCACGATCCAGAAGTCTAGTTCTCGGCACTCGATGCTTATTTCGAGATCCGCCGCATTACGAACCAGAGGTAGAAATACGCTTACGCTCAGAAACCTTACCTAAGGATCACATGGCTGCGGTCCTTGAGGTTATCCCCATGTCTAACGTACATGACGTCTACGACCGTCCAGTTTCATGAAGCCTGTCGAAGACGTCGTGAATTGAAGGAAAAGCTATCGAAGAGAACGACACATGTCCATATGGATTCGATAGTTCTGTTTCTGTTTTGAGTCAAACATCCACACTTAGGTCAAACCATCAGAACAGGCGTGGTCTCAATTCACAATATAATTCTATAAGAAGCTACAGTAGCATCCCCACCGGTATCGTCGATTTCATCTTGCCTGAAAAGTGATGAAATAAAAGAAGGAAACATTACCCTATGCGGATCCAACGAGATGAGTAAACGAACGCTGGGAATAGAGCAGAATAACCGAGCAGATGAATCATTTTTCAGAGTTCATGAGTTTCCTGGAAACCTAGCCAGAAGTAACATTTTGTCGTTTATAGCATTATTCTTTGATATCAGAGGGGGTATATGGAAATATATCATAAAGTCAATGAGAAGGAATCCACAACATAGTAAATAATAGTGGCTTGCTGAGAAATCTGTGGGTGGAAGCCATAGTTAGAGAGGTCAATTATGGTCCGGATGAACAAGTCAGAACAGTGCGAATAAAGAGAGCAACCGAAGAAATCACCGGGGATATACGGAGCCTATATTTACTGGAAGAAGCCGACTACTTGAACGCTACGGTAACGAGGTCTGGACGTGGTAACCGCTTCGGGG